ACAAAAAACTGTGGATTCCTCCTTTCACCACGTCGCCTTCTAACCCTGGCACGACCATCGTGCATGCCTAAACAAAATCGAGACTCGTCACTAAAGACAATACTGTTCCATTCCTGATCCCAGAGTGACCGTTGTCTGCACCACTCAAGGCGATTACGTCGGTGTTCTCGAGTTAAAGGGAGGACCCAGTGTGGCCGGTATGAAAACAAGCCAAAACTTCTCATTCGTCGGTAAACACTTCGCATGCCAATAGGTCTTCCGTGTTCTGCAAACCATTCATTTGCAATGGACCTGGTAGTGGAGAAACGGTCCCTTAAGGCCAATAATCTTAGGCGGCGATCTTCACGTTCTGTTGTTCTACGGCGGCGTCCAGTGCCCCTTGCTCTTTGCGTACGGCCTTCTCGAAGCCATGCCTGACAACATCTAACCACAGTGTCTACACTTCTTTGCACTCTAACTGCAATTGCCCGAAAAGAAAGTCCAGCTTCCCGAAGTCCCACTATACGGCCCCTATCAAACTCATTAAGTTGACGAAATCGTACAGGTCTCCGTACTCTAGGCATCGTAACCGATCGTAAAGGATGTCAAGAACCAAAATCCGCCAACGTTGATTCTTTAATGCGGCTGAAATATTCATTTTTAGAGCGTTAGTGAATTAAAAAAAAGCAGTATAAAAACCGGAATGTCCAACTGATAAGGCTGAAAATTTTTTCACTTGTTATTTACAGTAAGATAAATACATTCACCAACTTTTATTAAAATAGAACCATTTAAACTGGGTGTTCGGATTTATATGTCACTTAGTATACCTTACGTTAGTTGTTTTGGTTTTTGTACTACCCCGTCCATTTTCTTATGGGATTTTAACCTCCAGCGGTAAGTTCTCTTTTGTATACAATCGGACCACGTCCATTAATGCTTGTACTGAAGAAGTTTGTTCAATAGCTGCTACCTTTTAGTGAAAAGGCATTGCGGAGAACCACCAGTCACACTCCTGCACCCTTGTTTTGTAGCTGCCTGTAGCTGTTTCGCAGCCGATTTTGTTGGAAGCCACCCCTACCCCTTGACAAAAAACCTTATAGATATCAATATATTAATTATTGCTGACTGAAATTCTTAGAGTGTTCTTGATTTTGTTTGGCATTTTACGTATTCAAATATAGGGCAGTGCCTAAATGTCACCGTCTTTTGAGCTTACTTCATTACACTGATCATGATTTTGAATTTTGAGCTGCCATAACTTATTTTAGAACAAGGGGTAATATTTCTGAGGGTTTATCACTTTAGTACATTTTTATCTTTTTGCTCTTGGTTTACTTTTCTTGTCAAAGAGAATATACGTGGATTTTTCTTCAAGTTTTGGTGTTTTTTCTCAGACATACGAGTAGAGAGTAGATTTTTAAGCAGTATTTCTCTCTCTAAGGTTTTTTATACCGTAAATTTTGGAAAACGAGACAAGCAGCCCCTACCTTGTGACGTACATCACGTCACTGCCCACTTCTGGCCACTGGTTTTTGACCTGAGTGTTGTGAGCTGAGGACATCTCGATTGAGCCTAAAGCTGTAGCTTGAAGAAGACCATTATCCAGATAAGATCACTGTCCAGATAAGTTTAGGTTTAGGCATTAAAATATTTGTAAAGCCTTTGTACGTGTACCATGGTAAACGTTTTGCGTTTGGCTCTCTGTGTACAATTAATTAGGTTTTGTCATTACTGTGAGATTCTTTTCTTTTGTGTCGGTGGCAAAACAAGTTCCGGCAAACATCTCGGGGATTTGTGGCTTAATCCGTCTTGAGGCACTGGCGCTCTTAACCCCCCCCCCCCTCTACTCTCCGTATTGAGCTATTTTTTGCATTGACTGACCCTTAGATTTGAATTATAGTAATTTATTAATTCATTAATTAATTAAAAAAAAAAGGAAAGAGGAATCACACCACCATTTCATCTTGTTTATAAAAAAAGGCGTGGCATGCGTTAATTGTAAAATAAGTCAGGTACAAATCCAATATCAAACATCACAAAACAGTAACTCCTTTGAAAACGTATTTTACAAGTAAATTTTTGTGAATGCCCTGTTATGCCTTAAAATGGCCTGCGTAGCAAACGCTTTTCTTTTGCTCGATTACCCTTGAATTGGATTGCTGGAAACTCCGAATGACAAGGGTAAATCGCAAGGGGAAAGGATTCAACAAGACATCACAAAAATGAAACGATCTGTATCAAAACAAACGAGACGAACATATGATGGCGCAACGTAGAAAATGTAATATGTCATATAAGCGGCTTTTCAGCTCTGTCTTTTAAGCTTTTGTGTGAGTGTTGCTTTGCCTTAGGCCGGCTTCCGCAGAGTGTCACGTAACCTACTTCAGACTAAGAAAAATTTCAATTTCGAACATACGATTCTGTTTTGAATCTAAACTGACTGGTGTAATCTCCTGCATAGGCCTTAAAAGCTAATTTACTTGCTTACTGATGCACTCTGGACACCCCCCACCATTTCCACTTTTTGGCCACGCCCACCACATCCACCGCGTGCTCTGATTGGCGGATCAAACGGCGGGAAATTTGAACGGGGTTGATGGTATATGTTGATTGGCGGGAACCGCTAGATCCACCGCGTGCTCTGATTGGCGGATCAGACGGCGGGAAGTTTGAACGGGTTGATGGTATATGTTGATTGGCGGGCCCCGTTAGATGGCGCACCCGACCGGAAGTGATTCAGACAGCCGACGTAGTAAGGTGTAGTATAACGTCTATGCGTGAGCGATGTGACTCATTTCATAAAAGCCCATGAATAATGGTAATTATAGATGCAATTCTGCGGATTCAGTTTAAATGGAAAAACGTATAAAATTCGCGGGAAACAATGCGTATGAAACTACAACTATCCTTTTTGCCCATTTCCTCGCCATACCTTTTTCACAACATGGTGGCAAATAGCTGATAACCCAAGCTGAGGGAAGTATAAGTTATCAGAAAAATAGGCAAGCTTCTGTGAATTCTAGATCCAAGATAATTGGTAAAAGTTTCGAAATGTTCAAAGCTGACGGTTAACTATCTGACCTTAACGGGTACTCGAGTTATTTTGTAAGACTAGCTGCAGAATTGGAAGGGTACTCAAAAAGTACGACGACGACACTGACGAGTGTGAATTGGTATGGGCATTTCCGATAATTTTTACCATAAAAATGTATCAATTTTAAAGGAATGACAATTGGATTAGTAGCAATAATAAGGAATGAAGCCTTACCCAGTATCAAATAACACCTTCGATTAACGTCTAGCTCGATTTCAAATTCAATTATGTTGATTCTATAGTATCTCCAATTCTTATTCATACTGCTCAGAAGCAACCTATGTTAAGTCTTTTCTCAGCTGTAACTTTAAAACTAAGGTACCCAGGGGTAATAAGGCCCACCAGATATTAAGGCCCAACGCTGGTTTGTCCAAAGTAAAGCGCCTAAAATATTTATATCGCCATCTGTTAATAATATTTAGTATTACTGTTGCCGGAAATGTAATTTTGTTCTATGGTTATGAGCTTCCTGGCTTGTTCTATGGTGTCACGTTTCGCTGTGCTGTATTTTATAAGAATTTCGACCGGTAAGTAAGCAAATTAAATTGTTTTAATCATACGTAGATTTTTCATTATGTATGCATGATAATCTATGTATCTGATAGTTTCATTTTACGTAGCGTTTCTTTTTACGTTGGGTTCGTTTGTTGTTTAATAACCTCAAAATTAATTTTATTGTGCTACAGGTTATAAGGCCCGGGCCTTATTTTCTACAATGCATTGAAAAAGGCTTGGGCTTTATTTTCTGCCGCCATGAATACACGTATTCATTAGATTTATTTATTCTTTCTCAGAGGGATAAGGGCAAATTGGGATGAAGAGATGATGAGAGAGGCATTAAATTATATTAACGAGGGAACATCTCAGCGCTGGGTGGAACAAAAATGCGGAATACCCAGACGAACACTTAGGAACCACATTAAATCACAAAGCGTGAAGAGAAAACTAGGTAGACAAACAATTTTGACCGATAATGAAGAGACTGACCTTGAGAATAAAATAATTCGGCTAGCCGATAAAGGTTTTCCGCTAACACCAAAAGCATTAAGCAGGTCTGTGTTCAGGTATGTTGAGCAAAAGAAAATTAAGCATTGTTTCAATCAGGAAACTCGTCTCGCTGGTAGGGAGTGGGTAAGGACTTTTCTGAAAAATCATCCGAGAATATCAAAACGTCGATTTCAATTCATGAATCCAGCAAGAGCCCAAAAATTAAATCGTTTTATCGTAGAAGATCATTTCAAAAAACTAGGAGATTTGTTGGAGCGCACTCAGTTAAAAAATAAAGAAGCAAAAATTTATAATATGAACGAGAAGGGTTGCCGCTTGACTCTTCACCACCAACAAAACGTTCTGTCAGCCAAAGGAGCAAAACGAGTGCATGTAATTTCTCATGAACACGCCGAAAACGCAACTATCGTCGCTTGCGCTAATGGTCTCGGACATGCCATACCGCCTGTCATTCTTTTTAAGGGCAAGAGAATGAAGCCAACCTACTCAGATGGCTTACCGGCTGGCTCAAAAGTTATGATGACGCCTAAAGGGAGCATGACGATAGAAACGTTTGATAAGTGGTTAGACGATTTCATTGAATACATGTCGCCTCGGCCAGTAATTTTAACTTTTGATGGGGCCAAATGCCATTTGGATATTAGCATTGCTGAGAAAGCAGAAGCTCATGAGATTCACTTATATTGTCTGCCGAGTAACACCACCCATGAGCTTCAGCCGATGGACAAAGCTATATTTCGAACATTTGAAGCTTATTGGGACGATGAATTGTTAAAGTACTGGGATAAACATCCTACACGTGATTTAAACAGGGAAAGATTTTCTGAAGTTTTCACACCTACATGGCAGAAAGCAATGTCCATTGGAAATATTACTAGCGGCTTTCGAGCTACGTGAATATGCCCTTATGATAAGGATGTTCTTCCCATTGAAGCATTTGCCCCAGAAGACGACCGCCGCTGCCGATGATTCGGAATATGATTCAGATGACTACCTGCCTTTAGGTGAATTGCGTAAAAAATTAATCCCTTTGAATAATTCCTTCGCGGAAGTGTTACCAACACCAGATCTAGTCAAAAAAAAATCTGCTCCAAGACGTAAAGCTATAAATTACAAAGCAGTTGAAGTCAAGCGATCCGTATTTTTAAAGGAGGTGGAGTCTCAACTTGATCCCGTTCCAGTCTTATCGAATACCGCTAAATCGCCATCTGAATCTGTGTCTTCCATTGCATCAAAAACAAAAGAACATAACGAAGAATGGCACTGTGTGATTTGCTACGAAGATATGTAGCAGATATGAGACGATGTGCTTCTTGTGGTTTTTGGGTCCGTGATGATTGTGCTGGTTTGACTGCGGTCGATACTGAAAATTTTTTGTGTCCAGACTGTATGCCTTAAGTATTAGATTTATACTTAATACCATATTTTATCTTTGATACTGTTTTTTTAGTGTGTTACATTTATTTTTTATTCTATCAGTATTTTGTTGAACTGTTATTTTTTTTATCTCTCATTCAAATCTCATTATATGTCGTTGCAGATATTAAGGCCCAAAGGGATATTTTTGATATTTATGTTTGGATATCATTATTTTAATATTTTCTTTTTATTTTTTGATTTTTTTTTGTGTTTTGTTTATTCGTTTGACTTGTTTTTTGTTCATTTAAATATGGGCCTTATTATATGCACTTGCAGGCTTTAAGGCCCAGAAGACAATTTCTTTAATGTTCGCGTCTCGACATATAAGCATGATTATTTTGTGTTCAAACATTACCATTATGTTAGTTTATACCCTTTTCTATTTTTTATAATAATAAAGTTTTAAAAAGTAAATTTCTCTCGTAGATATTAATTATAATTTCTTAGGTGGGCCTTATTACCCCCGGGTACCTTATAGATTATACTCTAAATTTATGTATGTTATACATTCAAAGCGTTAGTTTCTTGATTTCTCGTTTTAATCGAACGAGATTTCGAAAACAGACGTATACTATATTAATACTTTTAGAAAAAAAAGTCTACGGAATTATATTTGAAACATAATTGTGTTTGCGTGCTGATTTTATAAACAGTTCATAGCATTTCAGTATGGAATATTTTTTTAAAAACTTTAAGGCTCATCTGTGACGGTGTACGAATTTTAGCTCTAAAGATGGATATATGTTTCCGGTAATCTGTACAATTCAGGTATTCTGTACAAAACCTAGGCAATATATATACGTAATACCTGGGTTGCCCAGATAACGTATGAAATATTATGAATATTATTATCCATTCCATACTTTACCTAGGTAATGAATACAATTAATAGGGATTGTATAGAGTACCTGCAGTTCCACCGGCAATGTGTAAAATAAATAGATCTTGGTCTAAATTTATCAATCTTAACCTATAAAATGACTGGCAAATGAAACAAGTTAAAATATTTAAAATCAACTTTCTTGAAATTAACAACTAGAGTGCTTGTTAAAAATAAGCTTTATGAAAAGGGTACAAGAAAAGCACATCTCTGTTACTACAGTAAAATTGATTTGAAACTAAAAATTATTCTGGTTATAAGTAACATAAGGTAATTTTCTCTGCTTACAATGACCCATTTCGTTTATTGCCTGCCTGCCGGTACGTACAACTCGTTCCTTTCTCTCGTCTTTGCGCATTTGGTACTGTATAGAATACCTAGGAAAAGTATAAAACAAATAATATTTCACGCATTACCTACACGGTTTAGGTATTCTATACATCACCTAGGTATTGTATAGAATACCGGATTATACAGATTGCCGGTAATATTAGAAAAAGCTGTTTATCTCCAACTAACTGAATACTTAGAGATGAACAATTTACTTTCTGTCCATCAGTCTGGATTTCGTGCTGGACACAGTACAACTTCTTCACTACTCCTTTTGACAGACACCGTCTTAAATAATATGGATAAACATATTAGTAATGTTTTAGTTATGGTCGACTTCTCTATGGCGTTCGACACTGTTAACCATAAAATTTTGTTGAGTAAGTTAAAGTATATTGGACTGTCTGACATTCCGCTTCAATTTTTTTAAAATTACTTGACTAATCGTAAACAAAAGGTGAAGACAGTTGGAGGTGTCTTATCTTCTGTTGCCGTTTCTTCAGATGTCCCTCAGGGCCCAGTCTTAGGTCCCTTACTGTATTTGATATACACTTTTGATTTACACTGATGTATTGAGCATTGTGCTATTAAAACTTACGCGGATGATACGCAGCTTTCTTTTCATTTTGACTTGTCTCATCTGGATTAAGCGGATTTATGTAAAAGACACATGTTGAAGATTAATCCGGATAAGAGTACTTGCATACTTTTTTATCCTAAACATTTGCATAATAGAGTAAGGGACAGAATTGACTTGAGGATCAACAACGAGCTCATTCCTATTGTGGAACAATTAAAAAATCTTGGTGTCATCTTCGACTCTAGTTTAAGATTTGACAAACATGTGTGTCATCTATCGAAGTCCACCTACATAAAATTAAGACTGCTATATGCTAATAGATTCATTTTGAACCTTAAAACGCGTAAGAAGCTAGTTGAAACTTTGATAATGTCCAGCCTCAACTACGCTTCAACCTTATACTATCCTTGTCTTGACTCGATGAATCGGTGTATGATCCAAAGAATGCAAAACAACTGCTGTAGGTTTGTGTATCGTCTTCGAAAATATAGTCATGTCTCCTCTAAGATCAAGGAGTTGAAATGGTTGAAAATGGATCAACAATTTGAATATAGTCTTAAGATATTTGTGCATAAGATATTGTGTAGTAAAAAGCCCATCTACCTCCATAGTAAATTGGTAACTAGAGGAATTACTAACCTTAGAGATCTGAGGCATAATAATAATCTGACAATGCCTTTGCACTACACCGCAGTGTTACAAAAATGTTTCACTTTCAATGCTGTGAGGTTATACAGCTCAAGCGAACCTGCCTGGAGAAGCAAAAGTGTAGTAACATTCAGGAAGCTGGTTAAAAATCAGCTGATAGATGTATCATAATTAGTTGTTATTATCTTTATGTTTTTTTTTTTTGTTGTCATCCGTTCAGTGTTGGTTCTTGACTGTTTCCTTTATGGTAAACCAATATAGCGCGGATTTGTCAACTAATTGTATTTTTTTCCCTTTATTATTAGCTCACTTAGTTGAAAGCCAGATCGATGTATTTGTTTTTAGGTTGCATGTATGTGACTTATATATCATAATCATACAATAGGGTTGGGTGTAAGAGAAGCCAACTGGCTAAACTTCGCCCTATTGTTAATAATAATAATAATAATAATAATAAATGGCCTTTATTTTACCTGGCGGATTAAATCAGCATAAGCTGTTTTTCGGAACCAACCAGGGCTAAAATCAGGTACATGCAAATACAAAGAAAATTACACAAAAGATAATAAGAAAATTGGAAGCAGAAAAAAAAAATGTTTACGAAATTGTAGCCTATGCATGGTATAATGCCCAAAGAGTACGTAGCAGAATCAAAAACCATGCTTAGAAGTAACTTAAAAAAATGAAAAAATATATTATATGGGGGAAGATATAAAAATTAAAAGTAAACAGCAACAGATTCGTAAACAAAACACAAACAAATGAACAGTGACAAGTGAGAAAACATGCACAAATAATCAAATATAAAAATAAAATTACATAAAAATACATGCTACATGTCATCAAAGACAAAGAACCTAACTTTTAATAATAATAATAATAATACGCCTTTATTTTACCTGGCGGGTATATCAGCTAATAGCTGCGATTGGTACCAACCAGGGCTACATAAGATTAACATTAACATTAAATGTAGAATCACAGCAGTTACAAGATGAAAGCTTAGTATGAAATTAGGTATAATCGAGAACAAATTTCTTTATATTAACTTTAAAATTATTGTTACTCAAACTTTTCAGATCTGATGGTAGACAATTATAAAGGAAAGGTGCTATGTATGAGAAGCACTTTGTGAATGTGTGTTGCTAATAAAGACATTTATTATTATTATTATATACACAAGAGTATGAAGAAATTTTAAAAAACATTGTTTTCTCCGTAACAAAAGGGGATAGACACATCCGCTTTGTTTTAAAGTGTATATAATAACGTATTTTTCTTCGAAGATCGTAGCGAGTCTGTCCAGTGACTCACATATACGAAGTGTTTGAATTTGTTTAGAAGAAAAAAACGTAACCCTTCGTTTTTCGCATAAAAATACCAATTATCTTTCGGAATGGTTTGTGATTCACGTCGGTAGGGTAAATTTGTGTATTTTGCTATAAAATGTCATTTGAAGGAACCCTGTACATTGCTCAGTAAACTAGTAGTGATGGCCGGAAGACAGGTGTTTTGGGATAAACAATTAGAAATTGTCAAAAACTACTTGTTCAATTGACTCCAATTTTGTTGTGGTTATTTAGAAGTATGAAGCCTACGGATTTGAAAAATTTGAAGTAGCTGCGTGAAATTATCGTCGCATTATCAACAAGTGCCTAAACCTGCATTTTGCCTCGGTTTTCGATCAGAACTTTTTTACTATTAGTCCGATCTTTTTACGCCTGGTATCATTTTGTAGGTCTCATAAATAATAATAATAAATCTTATTTGAAGGGTTTTCTCATTCTGTGTTGTCCAATAAAAAGTTTTTCCACCAAAATTGGTGTATCCATTTTATGCGTCCTTGTTTTAAATACCCCGTTGAACAACTTGCCTCAATCAAACCCGACTTTATATTATTTCGAAAAAACTTGCTCATATGATTAAACTATACTAAGTGACATATAAATCCGAACACCCAGTTTCAATGGTTTTATTTTAATAAAAGTTGGTGAATGTATTTATCTTACTGTAAATAACAAGTGAAAAAATTTTCAGCCTTATCAGTTGGACATTCCGGTTTTTATACTGCTTTTTTTAATTCACTAACGCTCTAAAAATGAATATTTCAGCCGCAGTAAAGAATCAACGTTGGCGGATTTTGGTTCTTGACATCCTTTACGATCGGTTACGATGCCTAGAGTACGGAGACCTGTACGATTTCGTCAACTTAGTGTGTTTGATAGGGGCCGTATAGTGGGACTTCGGGAAGCTGGACTTTCTTTTCGGGCAATTGCAGTTAGAGTGCAAAGAAGTGTAGACACTGTGGTTAGGAGTTGTCAGGCATGGCAAGGCCGTACCCAAAAAGCAAGGGGCAGTGGACGCCGCCGTAGAACAACAGACCGTGAAGATCGCCGCCTAAGATTATTGACCTTAAGGGACCGTTTCTCCACTA